ACCACCATCACCACCACCACCATTACCACCTCCACCATCACCACCACCTCCACCACCACTATCACTACCACCACCCCCACCCCCACCATGACCACCTCAGATTCACAAAGATCCACCTGCCTCTGCCTTCAAGAATGTTGGGGTTAAAGGTGGGCACTACCACACCTGGATAAATTCTTTCAATTTAACGTTTATTTTCATCATTAAATATGAGAAAATTAAAATAATACCTTCAAGTGATTTCAATTAAAATGTAATAGTAAAAGCCAAACCTATTGTAGAGACCTGTAATCCCAGATACAAGAGAGGTCGAGGCAGGAGGATAACAAGTTCAAGACCATCCTGGTCAGCTTAAAAAGCAGGACGATAGCTCAGTGGTAGAGCTCTTATTTAGCTTGGCCAATCTCGAGTACACTTTATAATAGTGACTTCTTCAAGAAAATACTAAGTAGGGCTAGAGAGATGGCTCAGTGGTTAAGAGCACTGGCTGTTCTTCCAGAGGACCTGGGTTCAATTCCCAGTGCCCACATGGCAGCTCATAACTGCCTGTAACTCCAGTTTTAGGGGATTCAACACCTTCACAGAGACATACATGTACCCAAAATGTGAATGCACACGAAATAAAAATAAATAAATGACGTAGAAAAAGAAAGTATTAAGTAATGGCAGATGTGGCAGAACAAAATGACAGAGGGAAGAAGATGAGGGAACGATACAGACGTAAGTGAAAGTACTTCAGCCAGCGCTAAGAGGTTTCAAATAGGAAGGTGCCGTGTGGCAGAGGCAAAGGGAATTGTGGCCCACCGGAGGACCCAAGAGCTTCTCACCTTTGCTGTCAATGCACTTTATCAAATCAAGGACCCACTGTTCCCGGCTGTCCCCACACACAGTGACGGATGTCGTTAACCAGAACCTGCAAGAGGATCGATCTAGTCTCCCATGGCCACTCCTTCCCCTCCCTACTTTTTTCCTCATTCCAAAGATGTGAAGTCACCCCCAAGGTGAGCTCCACTAGGGCTGGAAATCCCCAGATAAGTGAAACTGGGGAGGAACTAGGCTTTCCCACCCGGACCTGGTGTTCAGGTTGGTGGTCCTATAATTCCCCGGGTTGGGGGGGGGGGGACGGGGAACGGGGGACGACACACCGACAGACAAGACGGTACCTGGTGAGTACTGGACAGTGATCGTATGTCTGCAGGCGTTGTCGGATATAATCCAAGCTAGTAGGTGGTACCGGTGTGGCAGGAGGAATTTTTATTTTACAGGAACAGCTTCCAGTGACACTCCCCTGGTTGCCATCACCTAAAGGGGAACGAGGGATTAACCCTGGTCCTGAGTTGGCTTCCAACTCCTCTGTCGCACTCAGCTTCCCCTACCCGCCAGATCTACCTTCCACCCCAGTGTAATGCCACCTGGGTCCAGGTGTCCCCCAGTCCCAGTCCAACCCCAGCCAGCCTTCCCCTAATTCCCGGCTGCTGCCTTTGGCAGCTCTGGGCTGAGTTCTTAATCCCTCCATTCTTGTGCCCCTCCACAGTTTCCGTTCTGGCCCCAATCCTGCCCCCCTGACTAACCTGGCGGGGTCAGCAGAGCCAGCAAGTAGAGAAAGAGGGCTAGGGGCAGGGGTCCGAAGCCCTGCCTCATCTCCGGGCTTAGCGGAGCTTGTTGCCGCCAGGCCACTTAGCCGACATCCAGCTGATTCCCCGGCTGCCCGAGGTTCTGCGGAGGCGCTGCCGTCGGTGCCAAGCTCAGGCGGGGAGAGGGCGCGCGGTGGAGGTGCCGCTGCTCCCCGCGCGCGGTCCCGAACCAACCGTGGGGTCAATGCCCGGAGCCTACGCAGCACCCAGCGCCCACATTGGGGGAATCCCCGAAGGCGGAGCTCCTTCACCCGTTTCCAGACTCACGGTCAGTCAGTCGTGGGGACAGCCAAGACTGAAAAACCGAAAGAAAGTTCGGGCTATGGAGCCAGAGGAACCCGAGAGGGCAAGCGGTGGCTCCGGAAGAATGACTCGGTTGGGTTCGGGGATGTCAGTCCTCTCCGGCGGTCGCCCGTCTGTCTGGCGGTTTGTAAAGTGATGACCTGCTAGATCTCCTTCTGGTTCCAAGATGCTTTCACTTCCCTGGTCCGCTGGGTCACAGTGGGATCCAGTCACATGGCCAAGGTGAAGCAGTCTAGTAAGTCACCAGACCCGTGGGAGTGCGCATGCACTGGCTGGGTGCCATCCGAGTTCTGAGCAGTGGGCTCGGGCAACCCTGACGTCACTACAGTCCACCAGCACGAGGTATTTACCTTCAAAAAGTGGTGGCGGCTGCAGGTACCGGAGGAAAGGAGCCGCCGGAAAGGGGTTAGGTTTACAGGGGCTCACATCAAACTGATCCTCGCCCAAGAGATGCCTCAATTCTTTATTCTCACTTCTATTTCCCATAGACCAACAGACCCCACATTTTCCCCTTCTCAGCAAGGCTTTTCCCGTAGGATTAGCCTTACCTCTCCATCTTTGAATTCAAATCTCACTTTAGGATTTGAGTCATTGAGTTTTGTGCCCCAACTATGATTTCATCCCTGAGTTCTCACCTTTAACCCTAAATATCCACTTTCCAATCTAACCCCCCCACCTCCGTCCTTATCCCTGCAAACCCTATTCTCAGCTCCTAATGCTTCTCCATAGATTTTACCTCAAGCCCACACCTTCTCTCTTTGGTGACCCATCACGGACCCTCATCATTACCCCCCTCCTGACCGCTACCATACAGCTCTTTCTTCTCAGTCTGGGTCCAGGCCCTGTGCATCCGAAGACATGGAGTTTGTGTCTGGATACCGGGATGAGTTCCTTGATTTCGCTGCTCTTCTCTTTGGCTGGTTCCGCAAGTTCGTGGCAGAGAAAGGGACCATGGGGACCAGCCTTGAGGGCCGATGGCGTCAACTGGAGGGTCAGATAAGGAGGCTGCCCCAGGACCCTGCCCTCTGGGTGCTCCACGTCTTACCAAACCGTAGTGTGGGCATCAGCTTGGGGCAAGGTGCAGAGCCAGGTCCCGGGCCGGGCCTGGGGGCTTCCCGGCTCCTGGGAGATGAGCCTCCGCTCCGCCTGAGAGACCTGAGCCCTTATGTCAGCTTTGTCAGCCTGGAGGATGGGGAAGAAGGGGAGGAGGAAGAAGATGAAGAAGAGGATGGAAAAGGGAGCTCAGGCACAGAGAAGGCAGTACCACAAGAGGGTGGGGAGCCAGCCCCTTCCAGCCGGGAATCCCCCCAAGAAGCAAAGCCACCAGCCGAGTCAGAGGTGACCCAGCAAGAGACAAGCTGTGATGACGGCTGCCGGGAGGACAGAGGAGAGGCCGAGAAGGTGCCTGAAAAGAGGAAAGGACGGAGGAGTGGTGAGAACCCAGGGTGGCCCTGCCTTGTCCCCTGTTCAGACACCTTTCTGAACTCCTCCCCTGTCTCTCAACCGATTAGGAGTCACAGGCTGTTAACTTTCATGCAAATCTGTTGCCCAAAGTTCATTTGCCACAATGTGTTTTTTTTTTTTTTTTAATTTGAACCAACATCTAAGCACTGTATAGAATGAAAGTCCTCAGAGACCTTGCATCTTAAGAAAAGTTGAGGTTCTAGGCCTGGAGAGGTGGTTTAGAGGTTAAGAGCATTGACTGCTCTTCCAGAGAGTCCAGGTTCAATCCCCAGCAACCACATGGTGGCTAACTACCTTCTGTAGCTCCATTTCAAGGGCATCCAACACCCTCTTCTGCCTTCTGCAGGCACTGCACGCATGTGATATACAGACATGCATGTGGAGAAAACACCCATATGCATAAAATGAAAATAAATCTAAAGAAAGAGAAATCCAGATTTTGATAAGGAACCCATGTTTCTTACATTCTAGCTCCGAATAGCAGTTGCCCCCTTTACATGGGGACTGCCTCTCTTATCTAGTTCCTTCTACTCACTGAAGTTGTCTGTCCCCTCAAGACATCTAAACTTGGTATATCTGACTGTGATCTCTGCCCCCTTCTCTCTCGCCCAAATGTTCCCTCTTTCCGCAGAGGCTGCACCCCTGCACCTCTCTTGTCTTTTGCTGGTGACTGATGAGCATGGCACCATCTTGGGCATTGATCTGCTAATGGATGGAACCCACAGGCGTGTGGGCCAGAGCCCAGGGGCTGAGAATCTGGCTCCTCGGGCCTATGCTCTCCTTTGCCACAGCATGGCCTGCCCTATGGGCTCTGGGGACCCCCGAAAGCCCCGACAGCTCACTGTGGGAGACGCCCACCTGCATCGGTACAAATACCTGGGACCAGAGGGTGGAAAGGTGTGGAAACTCCTGAGTCCTTTTAGCCTGATGCCACCTGTATCCCTATGCAGAGACCTGGAGAGCCTTGTCCCGAGGCTGGGCGTGAAGTTAGCAAAGACCCCAATGAGGACATGGGGTCCTCGGCCAGGCTTTACTTTTGCCTCCCTTCGGGCTCGAACTTGCCATGTTTGTCACAAGCACAGCTTCGAAGTGAAGTTGACACCCTGGTGAGCATCCCCAAGGCTGGAGTCAACGGAAGACTCCAGCAGTTAGACAACCACGTAGAAAGGCAAGCCGGGCCAGTGGGGGTCCCAAGCAGGCAAAAGGTGGGCCAGGGAGGTAGGAAGGAATAGGAAAAACAAGTTATGAGCGATTAGCTACAGGATGCAATACAAACAGGCTGAGTGGCATATGGACAGATTATAGCCCACAGGACCCATGAAGACTGAGGGGTGCCAATTACCCCTGTTTCCCCAGCCCCCAGTGCAGTGCTGTCTTATACTGTGGAGAGGCTTGTCTCCAGGCTGATTGGCGGCGATGCCCAGATGATGTGAGCCACAGATTTTGGTGCCCGAGACTTGCCGGTTTTATGGAACGAACAGGGGAACTGGCAAGTCTGCCTTTCACCTATACTGCAGGTATCCTAAGGAGGTCAAAGTGGCAGGGAGGGGATCCTGGGACCAGGTCTTCGGGACTGGGTCCAGGGCCTGAAGAATGAGTGTTTGGCTGAAGTCTGCATCCTTGGAAGAAGAGCTGGTGCTGTGCATTGGGTGTTAGGGACCAGAGCAGCTGAGGCAGAATGACTGATCCAGGGAGAGACCAGGGCAGCTGAGGCATCGGTTCAAATGCTTGCTGTTCACCTCTACCACCATCTAGTCAAACAGTTCACTTAAGCCAGGCATGATAGTATGTTCCTAGCACTTGGGAGGCCGAGAGAGGAGGATCTCATGTTCCAGGCCACCCCACCCTGGGCTATGTGACACCTTGTCTCAAAAACAAGACAAAACAAGAGCTGCCTCTGATAAGGCATATCTGTAATCACAAATCACAGCATTTGGAAGGATCAGGGGTTCAAAGCCATCCTCTGCTACATAGTAAACTTAAAGTCAGCCTGTGCTGCAATGAGATCCTGTCTTAAAATTAAAAAAAAAAAATCCCCTCAAGTTCCATCATCTGTAAAAAAGGAATACTAGCAAATATAAAATCACATTTAATTATTTCAAGGGTTGTGTAAACTCTCGGTGCCTGGAACATGCTAGACACTCAGAAAGGGAAATTTCCTCCCTAGGTAAAACCAGGCTCAAAAATCAGGGTCCTGGGCTGGAGAGACGGCTCAGAGGTTAAGAGCACTGGCTGTTCTTCCAGAGGTCCTGAGTTCAATTCCCAGCAACCACATGGTGGCTCACAACCATCTGTACTGAGATCTGGCGCCCTCCTCTGGCGTGTGGGCATACATCAAGGCAGAATGTTGTATACATAATAAATAAATAAATCTTAAAAAAAAAGAAAAAAAATTCTATAAAAAAAATCAGGGTCTTTAGGGATATCAAAGGACAGCTAAAGTCCTGGAGCTGAGCCACCAGGTCCTCAACCCTCACCCCCTTCTCCTGCAGAGGTGACCAGTGAGACCTTTAACAAGGAGGCTTTCCTGGCCTCTCGAGGCCTTACTCGTGGCTATTGGACCCAGCTCAGCATGCTGATTCCAGGGCCCGGCACCCCCAGGAGCCCTTGGGGCAGCACGTCATCCCTCAGCCACCTTCTCAATGGTATGTGGGACCTTTTGCAGGGAATGGACTAGAGGGAAGGTTGTGGGGAGGGCTGGGGGAGTGGACCAGTCCCATTTAACCCCTCCATATACACATTAGGCCTATACACGTAGTCCTAATGGGGTTAGTACTGACCCTGTACTGACCCTGTTAGGATTATTTTAAGCCTTTCCACAGACCTCAAAAGAGTCATTTCTGTCTGATTCATCCAATAACCCTGTCCCTAGGCTAACTCCAATCCTGCTACAGCTTCAGGCCTTCAGGGTGTACAGGTCTTCTGGGAGGGGTGGGGAGATGAGGCAGGTAGGGGTTTACAGCTCTTAGGCACTGCTTCTTATCCACTCAGGTGATCCTTACCAGCTCCTGCAGGGAGACGGACCTGCCCTGATGCCTCCGGTGCCTCTAGACTCACCCAAGAGCCTCTTGGGTGAGCTGGAGGGGTCCTGTAGGAGTTGGGACAGAGATCCTGCAGGGGGTGGCAGACAGAAACCTGGTGCCTGAGCGGGCACGGCGCATTAAAAATTGAAGCCCAGGTCTGGGATCAGGCCCCCCGTTAAGCCTCTCTCCCCAGGTTCATGGCAGGATTACTACACGTGGCGGGGCCTTAGCCTGGACTCCCCCATGGCTGTGCTTCTCACCTACCCACTGACTGTGTACTACGTCATCACCCACCTGGTACCCCAGTCCTGTAAGGAGCGCAGACAGGACAGGAGGCTGGGGGTGGGGTTGGCAACAAGGGTGCCTGCCCCCCGCCCCCCCCTCCCCCGTATCTTTAATAAGTGGACTTCTCACCAGTTCCTGAGCTCAACATTCAGAATAAGCAGTCGCTGAAGATCCATGTGGTGGAAGCCGGGAAGGAATTTGATCTTGTCATGGTGTTTTGGGTAACGTCCCCACTCAGAGAGGGTGTGTTGAAAAGACAGGTGTGGTCATAGGGTGGAACCCTGGGCTGACTTTCTCTCTGTCTCTAAGGAGCTCTTGGTGCTTCTCCCTCACGTGGCCCTGGAGCTACAGTTTGTGGGTGACAGCCTACCACCTGAGAGTG